CCGGCATCCTCAGGACCTGACTGGTGCCGAACTAGAGAATTTGCCAAACCATGGGAAGTCAATATTGTCTAGCATAGGGCTACTCAATATGCGGCCCGTGGGCTGCACGCAGCACGTGGCCTGTTCATTTGTGGCCCATGGGCAGGAGACAAAACAAAAAAGTAGTCAATATAATGGTCTTCTGTCGATACATGTTTTAGTGATTAAATTCTTCGACTGTTATTGCTCATTAAAAGTGCTGTCATATGGTGGAAATAGGGTAAACCTTGCGTTTTATTAATCTCAGCAGAACTGATTTAAATGGGGCCTATGTGTGGTGTAGTCTTGCCTTAATCTTTGTATTCATGCCCGTCAGTGTGAAAGAAGCTATTTGCATATATTAGCACGTATATGCAACCACACTTAAGTTGTGGTCCTCGGCATGTGCTGTGAGTATCATTGTGGCCCTCGGGACTTCTAGTGTTGAGTAGCCCTGGTCTAGAAGCATTACCAGCACTTCCACTGCTTACTGGGCTCTGTTCCACAGCAACATTATTTCGAAATAACTGAGTCTACTTAGCAGACAGTTATTTCAAAATAATGTCGAAATATTGTCAAACTGGAGGACTTCTTCCACTTCTGTAACCCTCATCGTACAAGGAGTAAGAGATGTCAGAGGAAGTGTGCTTCTTTTCTAAATAAGTGCTGTGTAGACGCTCCCAATTTTGAAATAAGCTATTTCAAAATAAGCCATGCAATTGACATAGCTCATTTTGAGTAGCTTATTTCGAGCTAAGCCCTGCTGTAAAGACACGCATTTAGAAGACATTAGCGGTAAATTAGAGCTAAACAACAACACAGAACACTGAGAGCCAGGACTAGTGATTGTTCACACACTTTATAGGACCATGGGAAACTTGACCACACCCATGATAAGTGACCATCCGAGTAACTAAAATCATGCCGGATCACAGATGTTGCCGGACCAGTGAGTGTTGGACTAGAGAGGTTCAACTAGAAATACAGAGAACAAATTGCCTAGGGAGGTTGTGGAAGCTCCACCACTGGAGATTTTAAAAAGCAGGTTAGACAAACATCTGTCAAGGATGATCTAGATGATGTTTGACCCTGCCAGGAGTGCAGGGGACTGGACATGATGACCTCTCTGATTCTATGAAGTTCCATACATATCTATGTATACAATAACCACTTTCTTTCCATAGAGGTGCAGCCACCTCTGGGGTAGAACGTGGCTGCTGTTGTCTAGCAGAGTAACAACACTAATCTGTAGTTTAAGGCAGCAGACTAATGATACAACTGAAAAGTGTTTGTGTGATCCAGACATACAGGACAAACGTGATTGCCATGTTCCATTGCGGAATCTTTTCACGTGTGTTTGAATTTCCCATATTATTTTGTTACTTTATGTTGGTACGTGTCATGGAGGGAATTCACCTGATAATCTGATTTAAATGCTTTTGTGTTACGTACAGTGCTGATTTCAATGGAGCAGTCTCAGGCCTGTTATTCCCCATTGACTTCACACAATCAGCTTCAGATCCAGCAACGAGATAATGGATTAGGATAGCTGCTCCCAGTGTTTTCGCTGCATTACTGAGCTTCTTTCAATGAGGAGCAAAGAGCTGGGTGAAATGATGGGGCCGTTTCTCATGGCAAGGAAGGGACGGACGCGCCATGGCTGGAGTCCTTCTGAATGAGAATGGGGTTCTAGAATGTTCTGCAGGAAGCAATGCTGTACTTGGGAGGGACTGAATGAGACGATTCAGTGACTCTTTTTAGGGTTAGCATATTTGAATTTTCAAAAAAGAGGAGGTGTCCAGTTTTCACCCGGACAGTTCAGGATTCAGGTCCCCAGTCGGGTAAAAAAAACCCAGAAAAGACATGTGAAATGTCCGGTATATCCTGTTTCCCTCAGATGGAAGCCCAGCTGGGCCATTTAAAGGCGCAACAGTTTTTTTTGGTTTTGTTTTGTTTTTTGCTCAACAACTTTGGTTTCCCATTTTTTGTTTTGTTTTTTTTCCCTCAACCAACTTTGCCATGTTCGGGATTTTTGTTGAAAGCATCTGGCAAGTCTACCCTGGAGAGGGAATGTATCTGTATCAGTATCTACCAACTCATGTTATATTCATGTGTTATAATTATATAACACATTTTCCATTTCTAAAGCTTGATTTCTGTGTTCAGAAAGATTAGCTAATGCAATTAGCTACCGAATTTGCTGCTTTCCTAGGTTATTGCCGCTCAGACGGTGTGTGCTGCATTTCAATAGAGAGTGGTGCGAATGACAATAATCAGTAACAACCCACGGGGGCTACGTCTACACTGTAGGCTTCTTGCGCAAGAACTTTTTGTAGAAGAGCTCTTCTGCAAAAAGTTCTTGCACAAGAGTGCATCCACATTGCCATGTGCTTTTGTGCAAGAGAGCATCCACACTGCCATGGACGCTCTTGTGCAGGAAAGCTCTGATGACCAAACACAGAATGGCCATCAGAGCACCTGTTCTTTTTCCCATAGGGGTTTCTTGTGCAGGAAACCCCTGTTGTCTGTCCACACATGCCTTTTTGCACAAGAGCTCTTGTGCAAAAAGGCTTATTCCTCGTAGAAAAAGGAATAACTCTGGCGCAAAAAGCCCTGTCTTCTGACGACCTACTGTACTTTTCTTGCGCAAAAACATGCTTGTAGGCACAAAACCTACAGTGTAGATGTAGCCTTAGTGTTTTTCATCTTCAGAACCCTTTTCAGATCTCAGCTAAGTCATGGTCCTGACATCTTTGTGAGAGAGAAAGATTACCTTCCTGGCATAGATTTGGGGAACTGAGGCAGAAAACTTAAGTGAGAAGCCCTTGGTCCCCAGGGCAAACGTGTCAAAGTAAAAACCAGAACGTAGAAGAGAGCCTCTCTCCCAAGTCTGAATGCAGATGACCAGACCATGCCTCTCTGGAGGGGAATAGTATCTTTCAGTCACGTCTGCAGCATCCCATGCTACCTTGGCAAATTAAGATGTTAGGGTCCAAGAGAGGTGGGGGGAAGCCAGCTTTCTGGAGACAGAGAACGTGGGACTGTGCTGAGAACACCTCTGTCAGCAAAGTGGGAATGCACACTCCAGTGAGGCCTTCACATCTGGGTAGGTCGTGCCACGTGGCTGGCAGTGTTACCGCCGCAGTGGGGAAGAAGGGTTGGCGTGCTCTGCATTCCCTCAGAGTCCCCTTGCAAAAAGGCCTTTCTTGATCTGTGGGAGGTCTGGCGGCTGTCTTGGGATGACAGCCAGGTAGGGAGGACTGGACAACAAGGGTTGTTGCTCTAGCTTTCCCTATATAATTAAAGGCTTTGCTTTCCAGAGCTGTTTTGTCCTTGGATGTGGTGTGGACAGCTTGGGAGGCTTTCCCTTCCCCCCAGTGTGTGTGTGACTCAGGGCTGGACAGTGTGCACTCGAAGGTTCCCATCAGCCAGCTTTTGATCTTCAGATCTCACATGGTGGCTTTTCCCTCTCCAAAGGCCGCAAGGTAGCATGGTGGGGGTGGGGGAAGGCTGGGGTTTGCCTTTCTGTTGTTCTGGAAGCAGTGGTGACTCATTGTCCCGTCTAAAGACAGTGCTAGAGCAGGGGTGGGGAACCTTTTTTGGGTCAGGGGCCCACGACCCACAGAACAATCAGTTGGGGGCCACACCAAAGTGAGAAGCAAAACAAACAAACAGAAACCCCCCACCTCATTGATGTGGCCCCTGACTGAGAAGCAGAAAGACACTTCCCCACATTCCCTTTACACACCAGACTCAGTGTGGGGGACCCCCTGGGCTAGTAGATTTAGTGGGCACGCTAGGCTCTGGGGGGGAGCTAGCCCACCCCATGCGAAAGGGACAAGGCTGCTCAATGCAGAGCACACACATGGCAAGGTAGGGTTGAAATTCAGATGAGCCTGGGATGAGGTGGATGTGTTTTTTGGGTGGAGTGTTTTGCGTGTCCACAACACATGACATGAAAGCCCTTGACCACACAGTTAGGACTCGGATGAAAAAAGAAACTCCCTTTCAGTGTCAAGGGGGTGACCACGAGGAGAAGGACATGAGTAAGGAGAAGGATTGTCCTGAGGTGAAAGCACAACTGCTGAGATTCTGGGACACAGTTCCTAGCTCTGCCACTGACTTCCTATGCAACCTTCGTCAAGTCACTTTCTCTCTCCCTGAGTCAATGCCCCAGCAATAAAATGGGAATAACAGCGCTGCCTTCCTGTGTGTACCTTGTCTATTTAGGTGCTCAGCAGTATGGGGTAAGGGCTGTCTCTTACTTGGTGTACATAGCTTCTAGCATGACTGGGGTTTGATCTCAGCTGAAGCCTTTAGATAGTACTGTAATAATAATAAGGGGCCATCAAAGTGGAAATTGAGCAGCTGAAAAACCCTTTCTGACCTCTTTGGAAATTAAGCCCACAAAGGTTGGACTGTCTGGGCCGCATGCTTTAAAATAATTACCTTCTCTTTTTTCTCTGGGATTCCCACATCTTGCCACCCAGCAGCCACCTTTTCTCCCCCTATCCCAGCACAGAACCATTTCCTTCAGTTGTGTCCAGTCCCCTCCTTTGCTCTTTACTGCAAGTTCCTTAACCATTTAGTTTCTTTCCAAGAGAGGGGTTCTTTGCAGCTGCCCAAACTCTGGTCAAGAGCATATCTGGGGGTGAGGGGTACCTGGAGAAACCTCTTCAGATTCTGCTCCAAAACTTGTCTGCAGAAACACACATGCCTGGTCCAGCTTTTCTGGGGCCAAGAGAACTGTACAGCAGCTTCTCTCAGAACTAATGCTTGCTTTCTTCCTCAGTTGGGTTCCGGACGCCTGAGACCCCACTGGCCACGGGTTAAGTCAAAGAGAGTCTGGGGTCAATATTCCTTTTGATTTTGAAGCCTACTGATCCTCACAGCTCCCCACGTCTCAGAGTTTTAACGTCCCATCCCAGAGCTGAAAACCACAGACTTATATGGTCTCCCTTCTTCTTGGTTTGTACCTGCAGCTGTGCAGGAGGAGAGGCAGCGAGGGAAGGACCGAAATGAGAACGAGGTGGAGTCGACAAGTAGCGCCAATGAGGACATGCCCGTGGAGAAGATCTTGGAAGCCGAACTCGCAGTTGAGCCAAAGACAGAGACTTACATTGAGGCAAATATGGGCTTGACTCCTAGCTCGGTAAGAAATGCCTACCCCTTTTCCCTGTGTGCTAATGCCACCTCTGTTTGGGGGACTGCAGTGGAGCCAATGGGTGGTAAGACCTTGAATGTTGACACTGCAGACAAGCATGGTTAAGGGGAAGGGTAACCTGGGGTGCTGGAACATCAGGAGAGCAGTATTCTAGTCCCAATTCTGCGACACTCTATGTGAGCCTCAGTTTCCCCATCTATAAAATGGGCATTTCCCTTCCTCCTAGAGGTGTTGTGAAGTTAGAATCTTGCATGCCGGTCATATGCCAGTGGTGAAGTGCAGTGGAAAGTTGCTACCTTTCCCCTTAACTATAGTAGGTATTTGTTATGCTGGCTACCGTACAAACAATGGAGTGAAAGCTTCCCTTTGAAAAGCTGGCAATCAGATTAACCCTAGAAACATACCCTTTTATCGCTGAAATGCAAAAACAGCGTAGCTGCTAAACTGCAGTTTTTCAAACACCACAAATCTGAAACACTTTTAAGATCGATGACATATACACCCCCTTTCTCTGTGTTCTAATTTGTCTGGACACAGAGACATGATTCAGCCCCTGTTAAAGGTTTGGACTCTAGTAGGATCCTTTCTGAATAGCAGATGCCCCAGGGCCATAAATAATCCACTTACAGCTCCACCATTCCCATTGAAGAGACCTGTTTTGTAAAGAGCATTTCTTTTTTCATTTAGGTAGGTGTTCTCAGCTTATAAGCACTATGGCTTTATAGTTTCTGAATTTCTACTCCTCTGAGAATAGCAGCAATAAGGGAGTAGCAGCAATAGGGAGGGTTCCCCCCTCAGCTTGAGCAAATTTATAATTCATTAGACTCACTAGGTGTGGTGAGTGACTGAACCCCATGGGAACACTGGGTTGCTGGAGGACTGGGAAGTCTCCAAGTAGAAGCAACTTGTTGGGGGGAGGGGAGAAATAGTTGTCATTTTACTTTTTTACCCGTGTTGTTTGAGCTGAAATCAGTCATGCATATTGAGTTCACAGCCTTTCTTGTGAAAAAAGGTCCCTGACACAGAAAAGGCAGCCATATGGAATGGCTTGAGAAACAAACAAACAAAAATGGGATTTCCCTGCCGTGAATGGTTTCTTCCTTGGGGGAGGGGCTAAGAACTTTATAAAGTCCAAATGGTGACCTACTTATTCACAGTCTTGCAGGTAGTCAAGTGGGAAGTGTAGGTTTCTTAGGTCCCTGTGTAGCAAGGCTCACAGGGCAATTACTGTAGATTATTTGTATGTAACCTGAATGACAAATTTGAGATCTTTGCTATAATACATTGTAGTTATGTTGGTGCCAATGCTGAACATTCACACTCATGCAGCAGGCCCTGAAATCGTATGATTTTTTTTAAAGTAAGCTAACAAATGTGGGGGAATTTGGGGGTTTGAGCCTTTGAATTTCCCTTGGGTCACACTTTTCTAGCTTTTCTCTATAATTATCAGGGCTACACACTTGTGTGTGTTTAATGAAGAATGAGCTTGTCATGTACTAGCACGACTCTAGTTTCTGGAGCATTAAGAGCCACATCATGTATTGTGAGGTTTGTGCTGAAGTCACGAGAGCTAGCAATGCTGCAGCTGTGTTAATCATCTTGCCTAATATTATTAAGGAGTTGAGAATTTGGTTCTGACTCAAATGACACTGAGTTTGTGCTCCACTTAAGAGAATAAAAAACAGGGTGAAATAGGGTAGGGGGTGAAAGCTAAAGGAAGAAGAAATTATAAGAAAACTGTAGTAATAAATACATACATTGCATATACACCATTCATTTGAGCCAGTCTAGCATTGTGAGAGAAACTATTTCTGTTTCCTAGTAGAAAACACAGGCTGCCTATTAGTTGGAGAAACATTTTTAGTTGTTTGGTTTTTTTGGTTTGGTTTTTAATTAATGTCTCCTTTTGGATACAGCCCAAGTTTAAAAAGTCAGAAGAGAAGATGAGACCTCCTGCTAGTGGCACACACCCAAATTAAGTGGGGTTGATTTGGAAAACTGTGCTGGCTGAGCTTTGCCTGGCCTGGATCCTCCCACAGCTGAATGTAGTAAAGAGCCACTGGCTCTGATCATTAACATGAGTAACTTTGGTGCCACTGCTAGCTTGAGGCTCTTGTAGGGCAGAGCCAATGCATAGCGACATGTTTGCAGAATGCATGTGGTCTTCTACTAAGGAAGTCTTTTGTTCTTCTACTCATTCTCCTCCACACCTTCCTCATTATGTGGATGTTATCGTGCACAAGAGTTCTTGCACAAGAACCCACCAGTGTAGACATAGCCTAAGATTGTAATTGCCGTTGTAGTTTATTGTGCTTGGTTCTTACACACAAGGAACTGCCTACTTTATTTGTCTGAGCCCTATGCATTCCTGTGATGTGGCATGAAATGCAGCAGCCCATGAGCTGTGTGCATTAGCACTACAATGGGATGGCAATAATATGTGGAAATACCTTCTTATTCTGTAGCGCCTTTCCCAGTGACCCCTATACCTTGTACTGGATACCTGTGGGAAGCGTGCACTGAAATGCAGCCACTTCTGGGGAGGGGCATGGCAGTTCAAACATACATTACAGAACAACAGCCAGGGATGAGACTAGAAGGGTGGTGAAGCACTGGAATGGGTTACCTAGGGATGGGGTGGAATCTCCATCTTAGAGGTTTTTAAGTTTCGGCTTGACAAAGCCCTGGCTGGGTTGATTTAGTTTGGGTTGGTCCTGCCGTGGGCAGGGGGCTGGACTTGATGACCTCCTGAGGTCTCTTCCAGCTCTGTGATGCTATGAAAGAGGGGGTACCCGGTCTGGTGGTACTTCAGAAAATCACAGAGGAAGCTTCCAGCATATGAACTGCTTTGTGGGCTTGTATCTGATAGGTGAGTGTCGTGGTGCAGGAAACATTAAGGGTGCAGGAGCTGAGCTTGCCTGTCCTCCTCCCACCCCCACACACACCTGCTTATGCACCTCACTGCCTCATCCTGGGGTCGTACCTAGGATTGCCAACACTCCTGGACTGGACAGACCGGACACCGTTGCTACAAATGGTGTATGATCCAGGAGAGCCGGCAACCTTGCTACTGCTAGAGGCAGCTGCAGAGCCGGCAGGACCCCAAGTGGCAGTGCAGCCCGCAAGAGTGGGGGAAGCCTGAGGGGTGCTGAAGCCGGCGGGACCCTGGAGGGGCCACCTAGAGGCTGAGACTGGTGGGGCTGGGTGTGGAGAAGCCAGGTGGAAAACCTGTCGGAGCTGCAGCACATCCCTCCCCCCCTACATCCCTACTTCCCATGCCTGTGGCTCAGTGATCCACCAAACACGGGGCTTCGTTTGACCCATCCGTGCTTGTGTTCCATCCCCATCAAGCCAGAGGGCGCTGGCGCGCGGTGCCTCCGTTACTGACGGTGCCTCTGATCCTAGACGTCTCTGTCGGTGATCAGCATTAAAAATACTTTGCGGGAGTTGTAGCCGGAGTTGCGCCGACTTGAAAACAAACCCCAGAGAGCTAAAATAAATGGCTTCATCTGGCACTGTCTCTCCTCTTGCCTCTTGTAGGAAATTGAAAGCTGGTTCCTGCATGCGCGCGGTGCCTCCGTTACTGACGGTGCCTCTGATCCTAGACGTCTCTGTCGGTGATCAGCATTAAAAATACTTTGCGGGAGTTGTAGCCGGAGTTGCGCCGACTTGAAAACAAACCCCAGAGAGCTAAAATAAATGGCTTCATCTGGCACTGTCTCTCCTCTTGCCTCTTGTAGGAAATTGAAAGCTGGTTCCTGCATAATTCAGCGCACATTACGGTGAACAAGGATGCGTGTTGCATCTAAATAGAGGCGAGAGGCTTGTTGAAATGTCCTGTTGTTGTCGAGCGGCTCCTGTCAATGGAGTGACATTTGTAGCGGGTTTAGCAGATGTATGAGATCAGTGGCTAAGCGCTGATGAGGCAACCGGGTGGATAGAGAGGCGGGTCTGCCTTCCCCCTCCCCCGGAGAGCTGTCGTGATGGAAAGGCACACAGAGTCAGTGCCTAATAGATACAGGCTAAAATACAAGCTGGTTTCTGTTAGCCCCGTGTGCTACACCCAGCGCTGCCGCTTGGAATTCTCGGGCGGAATGGAATCAGATGTGATTCCAAGGACTTTCTCCTGGGTCGCCCCGGACTGGGATGGCGAAAACAAGGCCCTGTCTGAATGAACCTCTCCCCCAACCTCCCTGCCTATAACCAGATCTTTCCCGCTGTAAACCGATTGGGCGACAGCTGCGTGCCTGCGACCCTTCTGTAGGCTGTGGCTATCCTCTCCCGGGGCTGTGCAGGGATCTGTCGTCTCCAGGGCCTGCCCAATCCTGTGTAGACAGGGAAATCTCGGCGGTGGGACCTCAGCATTGCTTTCCAAGCAGACAGCCAGGGAGGAGCGTCAGGGAATTCGCTCCATGCCTGGCCCGCCCACAGAATGTGAGCACACGAGCGAGACCTATGGAGGAGCTCTGTAGGCCGTGAAAAGATCTAAAGTTTCCACTGGCAAGGGCACGCTGGGGAGAGGCTACGCTGGGCTTCCCAGGGATTGAGGGAAATGAGGCCAAGCGTTGTCTGTCTGTTGGCCCACACCAGCATTTGCGCTGAACGTTGGCTGCAGGGAAGAGACGTTGGCAGTCCAGAGCCTCCTGGGTGGCAGGAGACAGCGGGCCGGGAAGGGGAATCTTAGCTGTAAGGAAACACGCCGTTGCCTCACGTTGCACTTGCCTTTCCCGAGCAGAAGGGCTTCCCGCGTACGTTGCACACGCGCTCGGGGTTGTGGCTTAAAACCGCTGCCCTGAAAACACCTGCTCGAAGAACGCTCGTGCCCCAGGGCGGCTATTCAGGGATTGTGGGGAGCTGCTAATTGGGAGGCTGAGCAGTTTCAGTGATTTCACATGGCCCCGGGTTTTCAACGGTCTCGGTTTCACGTGGCCTCCTGGAACACCAAGCAGCACGGGGCTACGTTCGTTGTGGGATTCTCTTGAGACCTG